TATTTCTCAAACTCTTTTTTATATTTTTAAATTTTTTTACATTATTGTCAATTACCAAACGCGTTAATTTATAAAATTTTTTATAAATATAAAACTAAAAACGTAAACGTTACCGAATACACATGTCCATAATTTTTACGACTTTTTAAGTGTTGTGACCGCACTCCTGGGATCCATCCTCCAACAACATGTCAAAGGAATCTCCTTGTACAATCATCATCTTTTTGTGATTGAAACAGGAGCAACAAATAGTTAAATTCAAATAGTTGAAACCTACAAAAAAAAAAAAAAAAAAAAAAAAAAAAAAAAAAAAAAACTGAACAGAAAGAATGAAAGTTGTTTCGAAACAAACGCCATTGGATTTTGGTGTTTCCCTGCTACTTGCTTAGTCTAATGTATGTGTTTCTGTTTCGAAAAACACAGAAAACTTATTTAGAAATTATTTTCAAATAGATAGTTTTTGGAAATATTATTAAACAACCCACTTTTTAAAATCTGACCCTTTTAAACAAAATAGACCATGAATTTTGAATTTGTTCAATTTAAATCCTAATATTTTGATTTGTTTTCAATATAAATCATTCGCCTATTTTCGTTACTAAAATGATTTGAAAAAATATTATTTTAGTCAATTATGTGTACATAAAAATATCTTACAATTACATTTTTTGTTAATTTTAATGATAAATATCTTTTTCTTTTTCAAATTTTACTTAATAAAAATAGGACTAATAATTTACATTGAAAACAATTAAAAGGATTAAGTTTTAAATTAAAAAAAAAATTAAAATTCAAGAATGTAATTACAAAGATCAAACTTGAGATTTTTTTTATTCTATTTTATTGGATTACAATTACAAATGACTCCTCGAGATTTTTCTTAAGTAATATTCGAATTGCCCTCTTGTAGTTTGAAAAAATTATAAATTACCCCTTTTATCAAAAAAATTTAACTGTCTTTATATACCAATTAATAAAATTACCTGAATTATTAATTACAAATAATTTTTGAATATTAATTAAAAACTATTAATTGATTTTATGATTTATTAATAAAATGGGTCAATTGGTGTGAAAATTCAAAACGTTAAGAAAACATGAATATAATTTTTCAGAACCACTTTTGGTGTGTTTGGTAACGTTTACGGTTTTCAGTTTATATTTACAAAAATTTTTATAAATTGGTTTTTGTTTATTTTTTAGGAAAAACAATAAAACTATAACGCGTTTGGTAAATTTGAAAAAATATTTTAAAAAAATTTAAAATATATAAAAAAAAGAGGTAAGAAATGGCAAGTGGCGGGGAAGATGGTGGTCGGATAAGTGGTGACGGTGGGATGGTGGGATACTAGTGGTGGTAGGCTGGTGGCGGCTGGGTGGTGTGATGGCGGCTGGATGGGTGACGTGGCGGGGTGTCAGTGGTAGGAGGGGTGGTGGTGGTGGTGGGGGTGGTGGTAGTGTGGTGGGGTGGTGTGGCAAGTGGTAGCGAATGGGTGGTGGTGGCAAGTGGGTAGCGAATGGGTTGGTGGCGGGGCTGGTCGTGGGTGGCTGGGTGGATGACGTGGCCAGTGGTAGGGTGGCAGTAATGGATGGTGGGGGTGTGGTGGCAGGTGGTGGTGGGATGGTGATGGTGGAGTGGGTGATGGTGGCAGGTGGATAGTGAGTGGTGGTGATGGCGGTAGTGGTGGTTAGCGGTGGCGGTGGTGTGGCAAAGTGTAGCGGGATGACGACGGTGGTGGGTGGTGGCGGGTAGGTGGCGAGTGGTGGTAGGGTGTGGGTGGGTGGGTTGGTGACGGTGGCGTGTGGTAGGTCGTTAGCGAGTGGGTGGGTGGTGGTGGTGGGGTGGTGTGGAGGTGGGTGGCAGGTGGGTGGTGGGTAAGTGGTGGGTGGCGGATAGGTGGCTGGTGGTGGCAGGTGGTGGTGGTGGTGGCAGATGGGTGGGGGAGTGTGGTGACATAGGTGGCGGGTGGTGGTGGATGGCGGATGGAATAGTAGTGGCAGGTGGTGGGTGTGGTGGTTGGGGTGGATAGCAAGTGGGTTGGTCGGGTGGTGGTGGTGGCGAAGGGTGCCAGGTGGGTGGTGTGGTGGCGGGTGGTGGCTGGGTGGTAAGCGGTGGTAGCTGGTGGGTGTAATAGCGAGTAGTGGCTGGTGAGTGGTGGTGGCAGATTTGTGGTGGGAGGTGGTGGCGGAAGACAGGTGGTGGAAATGGTGGCGATGTGGTGGCTAGTGTTGGGTGGTAAAAAAAAAAAAACTCAAAATCAAAACGTAAACTCATTTTGAGTTTACATTTTTAGCCAAATTTATAAAACTGAGACCATTGATTTATAAATCAAATAATTTTACCCAAACAGTTTTTATTTGAGTTTTTTAAAAATTTTTGTAATATAAACAGAAAATAAGTTTTATAATTTTTGTTAAAATGTTTTCAGTTTATATTTTAAAAATTTAAAAAACTCAGCGTTTGGTAACACTTACGTTTTCAGTTTTCTGTTTATATTTACGAAATTTTAAAAACTCAAATAAAAACTTGTTCGGTAAATTTTTGATTTATAAATCAATGGTCTCAGTTTATAAATTTGGCCAAAAAATAAAACTGAACAGAAAGAATGAAAGTTGTTTCGAACAAACGCCATTGGATTTTGGTGTTTCTCCTGCTACTTGCTTAGTCTAATGTATGTGTTTCTGTTTCGAAAAACACAGAAAACTTATTTAGAAATTATTTTCAAATAGTAGGTTTTGGAAATATTTTATAAAACAACCCACTTTTTAAAATCTGACCCTTTAAACAAAATAGACCATGAATTTTGAATTTGTTCAATTTAAATCCTAATATTTTGATTTGTTTTCAATATAAATCATTCGCCTATTTTCGTTAACTAAAAATGATTGAAAAATAGTATTTTAGTCAATATATGTGTACATAAAATATCTACAATACCATTTTTTGTTAATTTTAATGACTAAAATATCATTTTTCTTTTTCAATTTTACTTAATAAAAATAGACTAATAATTTACATTGAAAACAAATTAAAAGATTAAGTTTTAAATTAAAAAAAAAATTAAAAATTCAAGATGTAATTACAAAGATCAAACCTTGAGATTTTTTTTATTCTATTTTATTGGATAAATTACAAATGCACTCCTCGAGATTTTCTTAGTATACGAATTGCCCCTTGTAGTTTGAAAAATTATAAATACCCTTTATCAAAAAAATTTAACTGTCTTTATATACAATAATAAAATTACCTGAATTATTAATTACAATAAATTTTTGATATTATTAAAAACTATTAATTGATTTTATGATTTATTAATAAAATGGGTCAATTGGTGTGAAATTCAAAACGTTAAGAAACATGATATAATTTTCAGAACACTTTTGGTGTGTTTGGTAACGTTTACGTTTTCAGTTTATATTTACAAAAATTTTATAAATTGGTTTTTGTTTATTTTTAGAAAAACATAAACTATAACGCGTTTGGTAATTGAAAAAATATTTTAAAAAATTTAAAAATATAAAAAAGAGTAAGAAATGGCAAGTGGCGGCGGAAGATGGTGGTGGAAAGTGGTGACGGTGGGTGGTGGGTAGCTAGTGGTGGTAAGTGGTGGCGGTAAGTGGTGGCGGGTGCGTGGGTGACGGTGGCGAGTGGTGGGTGGTAGCGAGTGGGTGGTGGTGGTGGTGGTGCCAGGTGGGTGGCGGATGGCGGATGGCGGGTGATGGTGGGTGGTGGCAGGTGGGTGATGGTGGTGGGTAGGTGGCGGGTGGGATGGTGGTGGTGGTGGTGGGTGGGTGGTGGTGTGGTGACGGTATAATTTTAGTCTGCAAAACATTTTCTACCTTTTAAAAGTGGAAAACATTTTCATCCAAATAACTATATTTTCTAATTCCAACAATATGAACAACGTTAGCATTTCAATCGAAACATATGGAGTGTTAGCGAAAAAAAGGAAAAAGGAAAAAAATAAAGAAAAGAAAGAAAGATAAAATTAAAAGAACTTTATAAACAAGAGAGGGCAGTTCAACTAAATAGTGAAAGATGGAAAGGTACTGAGCAATGATTCATTGTTAGTTATCCATAAATGAAGATTCAATAGGCCCTATTTCCATTCCTTCAAATCACTCGATTCTCAAAATACAGTAGAAAGCAACAACTTACAGAAAGAAGATCAAGTGCAGCTGGTTTGAGTTGAGGAAAATAATCTTTCAGGTTCTGCATGGAAGAAAGTGAAAAAAATTATTAAAAATTTACAAATTAACTTGCAAAAAATAAATAAATTAAACTGAAGGAAAGCCGATATTACCTCAGGATTGTGCTTGGGAAAGTCAAGGCTGTAATTTGGTAGTGAGGTCACTCCGGGCCATGTTGTCTCGTCTGGTGTCCCCATAATCCTTTATCATAAAAGAAACCGAACAAAAAAATGATTGTTGTGGAAAATTTTAAAATAAATAAATAAATAACAAATGTATTAGTAGTTTGTAACACCTAAAAATTTGATGCAGGTGACTAATCTTGGAGTGACCATCAAACAGAGGCTGATGCATAACCATCTCAGCAAATATACAGCCTACGGACCACACATCGACAGGCGTGGAGTATACCCGGGAGCCAAGGAGGATTTCGGGTGGTCTGTACCATAGAGTTACTACCTGATGAAGAAAATTACCAATTTCATTACATTCTTAAACAGCAATCGAACATACAAAACAAAGTTAACTCATGTATCCTATCAACTTCATTTTAAGGCAATTGTTGATTAGAAACAGACAATTTATAGGCTACATTCAGTCGAAATGAACTTAAAAGGCTACAAGAAATACCTCGGGACTATATTCCCTAATAGGAATCTGAAAAGTCCTGGCCAATCCAAAGTCCGCAATCTTCACTACAGAGGCATTGAGATCTAGCAGCAAATTCGCAGGCTTCAAGTCTCGGTGCATAACTCCACGCTTATGACAGTATGCAACACCCAAAAGAATTTGATGCAAAAAATTCTGCAGGGGGGGGGGGTAGTGAATTCCCGGCTACTGCAAGAAGAAATATATAAAAAAATAGATGGAAAAGACTTATCAACCACCTTTATCCTTTGTTTATTCAAACATGCCAACGGATTATTCTCCATGAATTTCTTCAGATCAAGGTCCAGATATTCAAAAATCAAATGACATTTGTTGTAATCATCGCATGCTACATCCAGCAACCTGTTAACCAAGGTTTTGTTAAGGAAATATAATGATTTGTATTGAGCACCCAAGGATACAATCTATATATGAGAGAGAAAAAAGAAAGGAAAAAAAAAAAAAGAGAGAGAGAGAGAGAGAGA